CTAATGAAATTTAGATTTTCCTGATTAAAGTTACCTAATATGTGCCATTAGGACCATTTCTAGGAACCTGACATGTTTTTTGTTTGTTTTAATTTTTACCGTAACTGATTACTTCACTGGGGAAAAGGCTCACAGGAGCCCTCATGCCACCATTCTAGAAACATCTGTCTTACAGTGTAATCACCTTTCAGTATCAAAATATTACTGTCACTTCGCCTTCAGTGATCCACACCAGGATACGTTCAGCACAATATTTGTCCCCAGTAGTGGGCTTCGGAGGTTTTCTTGTCCAGTGAGAAGAATAGAAACGTACTACTTTTAACATCACCAGTTGAGTCCCAGATGTCATCCTGAAGGTTTTGTAAGACCTCCTCCAAAACACATACTTAGTTTAAAGCAGGGGTGCAGCAACGAGAGGGCTGTTTCCAAGGCTGGAAGATAGGGCTCTTGTGAAAAGTGAAGCTGCGTTTCTTTTTAAAGACCTGTCTACGTTCAGGGCAGTACAAAATGTAACGCTCAGCTCTTTCATTTTAAGGTTCTCGGCGTTCGCTTGGACTACCGTATTAACGCGTGGTGGGTTGTCTCTTGTCTGTTCGTTTCTTGTTTTCGCCCTCCTCACCCTGTAGAGAAGAGGAAAGCCGGCCTGCTGGACCAGCTGACCAACACCAGTGGGACTGTCATTGGCGTGACTTCCTGCATTGTGATCATCCTTATTATCATTTCTGTCATTGTGCAGATCAGACAGCCTCGTAAAAAATATGTCCAAAGGAAATCGGACTTTGACCAGACCGTTTTCCAGGAGGTGTTTGAGCCTCCTCATTATGAGTTATGCACCCTCAGAGGGACAGCAGCTACAGCTGACTTTGCAGATGTGGCCGATGACTTTGAAAACTACCACAAACTGAGGAGGTCCTCTTCCAAGTGCGTTCATGACCATCACTGTGGATCGCAACTGTCCAGCACGAAAGGCAGCCGCGGCAGCCTCAGCACGAGAGACGCTTCCGTCCTGACGGAGATGCCCCCGCAGCCCGCCAAGCCCCTCGTCCCGCCCGTGAGCAGAAGAAACATCCTTGTCATGAAACACAACTACTCCCAGGATGCTGCAGACGCCTGTGACATTGACGAGCTCGAGGAGGTGCCCACCACCAGCCACAGGCTGTCCCGACACGACAAAGCCGTCCAGCGGTCAGTATCAGTAGATTTTTTGATGACCACTATAACCTGAGGACCGAAATGCTTCCAGGATATCGTGTTCTGTTTTGTCTTCATATTTCAGTTTCTCTTTTTATTGGTGGTTGAAAGCACAGCATCTCAACTTTCGCCTCTTTTTTTCCTTTTTCCGTGCTGTCTATGCTCTTCCTGTTATCCCATTTCTGTACACATGTGTACGCGTGTGAGCACACACAGACCAAAGAGATTTCATTTATTTCTATACATAATAATATTTATTTCTATGAAAATTATGGTTTTAATTTATATTACAAATTTATATTGCTAATTTGCTTTCACATGGTCATAAGCATTACTCCAATCGATATTTATATATTTTAAGATATGAAATGATATTTCGAAATAATTGCCTTACCAAGATGGTTAACCCATCTTGTTGAATAATTTTAATGTAAAAATAACATATTTTGCAATATAATGTATTATATTTTTGGTATGAAAATGACAATACTTTTTTCCACGTATCACATAATACTTCTATTACAAATTGCATATGATAGCATGGTACGCTGAAATACTAAACATTTATATTTAAATGTAGCAAGGATTAGTAGAAACATTTTCCTTTTAATATGAAGACAATATTATCTATATTGGTTATTAGCCCTAAAATGAAAAGTCTTGAGGAAAGAAAATTTACATTTAGAAAAAAATTATTTTAAATCCCCAGATCCAACCTACTCACGTTTTGTTTTGCATGTTTACTAGCATTCAGTTTATTTTATGAACGTACATACTTTCTCAATTCGCTTTTCATCCTCAAAACCTGAACTATGTTTAGCTGGTTTAATATTTTTGCATGCTGATGGGGAAAAAAATCTATTTCCACCGTTTAATGAATTTTTAGGAATGCTTTTAAGTAAATATACATGTGAATTTTTTTGTGTGTGAAAATATTACTTTGTTGAATGAAATAGCCATAACATTCCAGGTTCTGCCTCATTGGGTCTCTAAGCAAACATGAATCTGAATACAACACAACTAGGGTCTAAAAAGAGAATTCAAGGTAAGCGAACGCCCTCGGCTCCTCCTCCCAGTTTGTTCTGTTCTGTTCCGTTCCGTTCTGTTTTGTTGCGACTGTCTTGTAGTTTTATAGGGAATGTGCTGTTTATTCATTATTTCTCGAGATACGTGCTTCACAACACCTTACAATTTGAAATATAACGGATTCAATGCTGATGGAAGAATGCCTCTTAGTAGACGTATCTTTAAAATAAATGTTAATATTCTTACCATCAGGCGTTGTACCGCAATGCTATTAAAAATGAGAAGTCAGTAAGTCAAATTTTACATATTTTAAGGTAAAGAGACAAAAATTAGTGAACTAAAATAAATACAAGAAGCAGCCCAAGATTTTCATAATTAAAAACTCGAATACTTTCTCAATATAACTGAAGCCAATGTGTAAAACTGGTAATAATTGTATTGATTTAATTTGGCAACATTCTGCTCAAAACGCATATACTAAACATTTGGTGGTACTTATTCAATTTGTGCGCTCTTATGTTTGCATGACTATGTAGCTTATTTCATCAAAATTAAATGCAGCATGTTATGTCAAATTTTATGGTATAAAATTTGAATGCTTGATGATGTAAACTGTTCCATAAATACTAGTTGTGTCTGTGTACATTTATTTTGTCATTGGGTACCACACCAGCTTTATTTTTAGCACTTGATAGTCAATATCTCTATCAGACTAATTTGTCTCCAATTAAATTTGCTTGACAGTTAATCTCTTCAAAACTCTTCCAACCTATCAACTATTCTTGAATTAGGTGAATGCAATTCCATGCTCTATATTACCTTGATAAATTGGTGTCTTTGTATGCGTATTTCATTGGGAGAAAATGTTTTAACTGTGTTTTATTTTCAGAGAAGAACTATTTATACAAACATGGGGACTGTGAAAAGAAAATTCTATAGTGAATTGTGAAAAGTGGACATATTTCTAAATTCATTCCACTGCCTTTACCCAAACTTAAGAATTACAGACATTTGTTATTCCTTCGGCAAGACATCCCAGCTGCACAATGATATGTTCATTTCGTAATTTGGTTGCTGGCCACCAAGTGCTCCTTAGTCTTTAAATACATTTTGAGATTTACTGGAAACTTGAAGAAGAAATTAGTTCCTGATTAAGACTATCCCAACTTTATTTTTACCGTCAGTTTCACTTTGTTTCTATGTTGTTTTATGTCTTTGTTAGATAACTGTACATTGTGTGATATGTGAAAAAACACGATTTTGGATGAACTTTGTGTTACATGTACATTGTTTCCATTATATAGACTGCTTGAGAATAGTGCGTTCCAGAGTGATTTTGAACATGCTACAGTGAAAAGTGAGAATATGGACCATGGAAACACCAGCTAGAGGTTTTATGGACTATAAACATCTGTGGTTGTATTATGATTAAATACAGCCAAAAGTGATGAGTAAAATTTCTAGACTGCAATAAGAAAAAATCTCATTTTTTGGTCTTTCCCATATACCCCTATTTCCTTTTTGTTTTTTTTTAATCAAAGGAAGATATCGAGTTTCAGAAATAGTTTTGAAATCAGGTATTTTGCCATTCATACCCTTCAACAGAAATGATTTTTGATTAAGCACTTAGCAATATGATTGAATTGGCAGTTTGAGAAAATACCCTGCATGTCAGTACTGGATATTTGAGTTGGAAAAATATCCTTTTTATGAGACACATTGTAAAAAGCATGCATTCTCCAATACCGCTGTTACTCTTCCATTTCCTTGTGTCATATGCTTGCTACTTGTAACTTTTTATATAAAGATATATAAAAATGTATAATAATTTCCTAACTTGAGTTAAGAAAAATGTTTTCTTCTATTAGAGTGATTAAAAACAGACTTACATAAGAACACACTTTATATCAACCCTTTCCACCTTTTAGGCTACAGGATGTCCCTTAGTATTAAAGCATACTTCTTCAGACAGATTTCCCTAAAACTTTGTGAAATATTTTCTCCTTTTAGAATAGGAAAGTCTTTTCTAAATGTTTTAAAATCACAGGCCCTTTTATGACCCAAATTAAAACATTCGGAGTTGTTCCTTATACTTAGACACACATATGATTGCTGAAGGCTTACTAATTATGATGTCTTTAATATAAATAAAGAAAAATAATATTATAATATATTAAATTGCTGTTGAATTATATAAACACTCTAAAGTTTGATTTAGTAGGTGGATACTTTTAAAATATTGAGTGTGCATTCTTGGGAAATAATTAAAAAATTTTTTAAACACCAAATTACTATAAATCTGCTTACCATCATTTCCAAAATTGCTAAATTCTCTAGGATTTTGTCCCTCCGATAGCAAGGCCATCTGGTCTATCACAGTTCCACCCTGGTAACTCAAGCAGGCGCTACAGACCCAGGACATGATTTACTCACATACATCCCTGTTAGGCATTCAACTTGACATGTGTTAAAAAAAACAAATAAATCAGAAAGAAAATTAAATTTGATGATAGAAAAATTAATCATCACAGCAATTCTGAATAGTCTGTATTGAAAAAATATTAATCTACAGAAATAACTACTTCCATGAATTTGATAAACTGATGAAGAGAAAAAAATACATTGAACATTATAAAGAAATTGTTCTTATTGTTTTACTACGTATTTTATACACATTGATTATGCCACAATTCAGCCTTTTTATTTGACTTCGCTAATTCATTTATTCCCAGACCTATTTTCATGCCCTTTATTTCTAAGTTAATGCATCCAGAGATTTTTTTTAAAGTGATTAGCCATATTTTATATCTCTGTCTCTATTTAGAAATCTTCATAGGGGCCTTTACACTTTGAATGAATAATTTCAAAAGAAGTATGACATACATGTGAAGCACTTACTATGCACTGTCCTTGAGCTGTCCACACTGTCCACACTGTCCACCATCCTTCCATCTACAGTTCTTCCTGAACGTGCGGAGTGCTGATCTGCTGGGTCACCACCAAAAGGACATTTGCACCAGAAATCAGGGACTTAAAAAAAAAAATCCAGCTACACTAAGCATAGTGATTAAAATGAACTGCTTACACATATTTAATACACAACAGCTCCATGGGCAAACAAAAATGTTTCAAGTGAAGAGCAGACCTCTTCAGTGGTAATGCTGAAAGGTACAACTATGGGCATTGCACAATCATAAAAGGAGTCAGTGGTAACTCCGAGGCAGGGGACTGGAGGCATCCTCTGGTCCTGGGGCTCAACTCTTGATGCTGGATCTCGGTTGGGAGTGTGGGGCTCCACATGCCTGCACGTCCCCTGCAGGGAAGTCTTGAAAGGCCAGTACTGAAATCTATCAACACATTAAGAATTCCTATTTACTGGCTACATTGGAATCGTGTCCCCTGAATATCAACCTTTGGTTTATATTCAAATGGGGAGACACGTGTGGATAAGAAATGAGGTATTTCAAGACTTTCATGATGTTTCAAATAAATTTCTTTTAATAAATAAATTTATTTTTTAATAGAGTAAATTCAAATATTATTCGCACAAGTGCTTTATTAATCCCATAAGATGTTTTCTGATAGGGTAATTATATGCCGTGTCAGTCAATTTGAAAAGAACTTCTTGTTTCATTTCTCAATGTTTGAATTCACTTGCAAAGTCTGGGAGGCAGGTCGTGATTATGTGCAACACCTTTGAAACTCTGAATTGAGCTTCCACTTCTGTCCAAGTGCACTTTGGTTGGTTGCCTAACTTGACGTTGGTGTGCTGCATTGGAAATACGATTTTTTTGTACCTGATTTTATACACATGCCATTTTTAATGCATCATATTGGAAAAATAGACATATGCAATGTTTGATTTGCCATCATTAAATTCCATTTGATTAGATAATTAAAATGTGGATACAAACCTAATTGGAAATCAGTGTCTTTGGGCTTTTAAAGGAGAACAGTCCATGTGATGGAGATGCTATCTTTTGTTTTGCATTGTATTTTTCTACTAAAAAGATTTCAATGGGTCTGACTCCATAAACCATTATTCTTGGTGTTTAATAAAGTTAGGCCTTTGACATTTCTTGAATATGCACTTAACCTAGTTCATCAACTTTTTCTAACTTTTTTTTCCTTCAGGGATTTAGATTTTCTTCAAATCTGATAGCTTTTAAAAATTCCACAGATGGATTTTTCCTCAGCCTCAGAATATCTTCATAAATTGCAAAATTTGATACTGGTCCCTGTTACCTTAAAGTCATGACAAAAAATTCATTGATCTTTGGTGGTAAAATGAATAAGAGCATTTTCTCTTACTGTGAAGTTTGGATATTTTGGTGATGAACATGAGGCCTGTCAGATTCCAGCTCTGGAGGGAAGTTAAAGAATTAAAACCTTCTGAATCCTAACCGCATACGATGTGAAAAGCAGGTCTCAGTTTTGTCCAACCTCCCTGAAGCAAGTTCATTTCTGTGCACATCTCTCCGTGCATCCTCCCACCTTGGCCCACTTCTTATCCACTTAGCTAATGATCCCCATTTCTCTCAAAGGTGAAATAAAGTAGCAGAATAAGATACATTGTTAAAATAGCCAGAGATGTGTGTTTATAGATAATCGTGTTTAATAAATCAGAGCCCTTTGTTAACGCAGAATTATCCAGACTGGTCTTCTTAATGAGCTTGTTTCCATCGTACTGCACATTTCTTTCACTGAATTACATCATTCAAATGCACCCACCAGTGTGATAAAAATAACAAGTCCAGGGGACTGAGGTCAGGCACTCATAACATCTCATCTTTTTCTATTGCAGCCTCTGGTATGTGTTATTAAAGAAGTAAATGCCTTCTTAATATGCCTTTAATTCCTCAGAGGTAGTCATAATAAACTCAACCTGCTTCAGACTTCAGACTGACCAGGGCTGGTTTCCAGAGAGTTCTTATTCCTGCATCGGTATGACTGTCACGTTAAACCATTTCTTTGCATCCATCATTGTGCAGTCAGCACATTCTTATTTAGTCCCAAATTCTATCATCTCTCCAAACTCTGAGGCATCTTGCTTTACTTTGGCTCATTCTTTGAAAAAAAAAACAAACCTTTTTTTTGCCTTAATAGTCACAGATCTAGACACGAATGTAGAAGTAGCCAGAAAACAAAGCGTTTAATATCAATACAGCCAGCTGGTTTTGAACCGGTGCAATCTATACCAGGCTTCTTCCTAAGCACTTTGGAGATGAAAACAAAAGTTGGCAAACTAGTGGGGAGCGTAATTATAGAGCCTTATAGAAGGAAGCTTCCTTTGAGGAGCTCAGAAAGGAAAATGAAGCTCAAAATTATTTGCTAAGCTTTCCATCTTGAAGGGCTAATTAGCTCCTTCCCGCTTAACCTTGCATGGAAGATGAAACACAGTCAGCTGTCAAGAGACTACAATGCAGATAACGTTTTATAATAAAGCAGTTAGCAGCTTAGGTGTTAGGATACAGTATATTCTCAAGGAGATCAAGAGAGGCTTAATGCGTAGTTACTCTTCCAAGCAGCTCTTGAAGATTGAAGACCATTGTCAAACAGTGGAGCAGGGAGAAATTCCTGCCAAGAGAGTTTGGAGCAGGGACTAGTCTCCCAAGGCCCCGTGTCTGAGCGGGAGGTACGAGGAACCTGAAGGAGTAGCCGCAGCGTCCTCGGCAGAGCAGGCTGGCGTTTGCATCCTGATCTCCGAGTGCAGGTGGCGCCATCCGAAGGAGCTCGCATCTTACTCAAGGGAGAATGCCAATGTCTCTGGACAAAATACGGCTGAAAAATTGTCTTTGAAGGAGAATCCTCTGACAGCAGTGTGTTTGCTAAACCGGATGAAACTGGGATAAACACAGGAAATCAAAACAAGCCATTCAAAAAGATTAATCGATGGATGTTAGATATCCAGAAATTTCTGTCTTGGTTTCTATTTATTTTCTACTTTTATTTTTTAATGTCAAGATTATGGTTGGGTAACTAGTCAAAATACTGAGTGTTCTATGGTAAGCACCACTGTGAGGGTTTCCCGTGCAAGTCTTCCTTTAGTCATCTCAGCAGTTCTGAAACTAATAACAGTAACACTTGCTAGGGCTGTTTGTGGTGGTGTTCCATCATACACACGAGGAAACCGACAGAGTCTGGTAGCTTTTCTAAGATTGCACAGTAAGGAATGATAAACCCAGTTCTGAACTCAGGCCGATTAACTCCACAGTGAGCCAGCAGTTCTCACCGATGTGAACACAACTCTTTCATATTCAACATCGCGCGTTTCACTGAGAGAAGCTGATGCTTTTTCATAGAAACCCCATACTTTTGTGTTTTCTCATCTGTACAAATATGCATTATAGCAACTCCTCCCCGCCCGATAGCTTTTGGGGACAAAATGACAGTGCATTGGAAGATAATTTTTACACCTTATATAATATAAGTAAATTGTTTTTCCTAAATCATGTGTAAACTTCATTTTAT